AGCACTTAGCTAGATCAATGGTAATCAACTGGTGTTGAATCTTGTAACACATCACACGATTCCGTTTGGGTTTTCTGTGCTGTAGCCATTCCCATTAAACTTGGCACAGTAACTTTGTAACACAACCTGGACTGTTGTTCTGATAGCAGTGGTAGACAAAGGGATCGTTGTCTCTGTACTTGTTCGATGTTTCTTGTGATAGAGATTTGGTGAGGGTACCATACGTGAGAAGCCTATTCTATGGTGGTTTTCACTAGGGTAGAGTATGCTGTGGATGGAAACAAATTTTTGACTTCCTATCCCATTCTTCCAACTATATGATATATCTGCAACCAGAAATCAGCTTCACGTCTCTTAGTGCAACGGGACAAGAGACTGTAAATAGTCGGGTTCTTGATGTACATTGCTCTTGATTCCACATTAAGACATTAAGACTTTTAGTTTTCCAGTTGTACGAACTGTGTTCTGTTGGACAGGCCCTGTCTCGTCTATTCAAATTTGATATCTCGCTATCCGTAGTAGTCATTTTTGAATGACAGTTTGGCAAATCGAACCTTACCAAATGCCTTTGCGAAGTCTAGCTAAGTTATGTCTGTCTGGTCGTCATTCTCAATATTCCCTACTATGCCGTGCATAGTTATTAGTAGCAGGGACTCGCATACTCGTTTAGCTCTGAACCCATGTTGCTCACCGCAGACCATCTTGTTCTGACCAAAGAAATTGATGAGTGCTGTAGACTATGTGCTCCAGTAGCTGACATGAGATAAATGTCAGGGAGATAGAACGATAGTAAGCTGTGGTGTGCTTTTTACCCTTTCTGTCATCCAATTATCAGGTACGGATCCCTTATTCAATAACAGTTGGTTAGTTTGGTCAGGTAAGGTGAAAGGCGGGTATATTATCTAGTTGTGTAGCTTTAAATGGTCTGAGTGGGTTGGTGACCCAGTTCTGGTTGACCTTGTTTGTTTCATGGTTGGGTATATCCTTTACCTGGCATGTTGTAAGAATCCTGTTTCTGGCTCTATACACATGTCCAACATATTTTGGGATTTTTGTGTAGGTCTTCACTTATGCGTTGTAATTCTGCTTTGATATTCATGTATCCTTTCCTGTTGTGTTTTGCTTCGGTGTCGGTTTTTTGTTCCCATCTGCTCATTTAAGTTGTGTGGTCAACCATTGGTAGCTTTTTCTAGTTTGGGCTCTTTTTTGTTTGTACATATTTTCCATGGATTATTTAATGATCTGTTTTAATGATGCGTTCATGGTGTTAATATCAAAAAGATAGTAGAAAAACTAAGGATATGGGGTATCTATCCATGACACAAAACTAGTATATGTACAGCCAAAAAAAAAAAAACACAAAAAATACAAAAAAAATTAGAAAAAGATGTGTGTTAATGAATCTCTCAATGTCATTGCCTAAATTTACCTTATGCTATTTAAACCTGCTTTATTCCAAAGGTGTTTTTTCTCTTTGGCGTTGAATGACCTGTAAATTTAGATACAATTTACTATAGCTAGCAGCGTTTGACTTCTCTCTATCTGTTCTGGTAGGTTGGTAAAATTCTAGCATGCTGTTTCCTCTTTTGGAGTTTGTCCATTTATTTGCTCAATTATCGGCTCGGAAAAAATGCAATTGAAAACCTGACAACATTAAAATGAAACCGGACTGATATAATAAACGCGTACAAAAGTTTATTAAACAAATCTTAAAATCTTTTAGAAATCAAAAAGGTCAAATCTGGAGTCTTTATCATCTGTTATTGGGCGTTTACCTTTATGATGTTTCCCCCTGATCATGTGTGAAATATCATGTAAATAAGGCTGAAAATATATCCAATAACAAAATGTTAAACATATATAATGACGGTACAACAAACATAACAAACCACAACCTCCACTGTCTTTTTGTTTCCTGCTTTCGACGTCAGAAAAATTTGTTTCATATATTTTTATATATTTCTAATCCGGTTATGTATAGTGTCATTAACAGGGTAATTTTGTTTAATCGGTTCAGCTGTACAAACTGCTTGATTTAATTTACTTTCCGAAATTGTTTTTACAGCTTTATTAAATGTAAAGTTTTAAATACATATAAGGAAAACATTTTAAATACATATAAGGAAAATAACAACAGCTTTTAAATAAATATTGTTTGCATAAAAAATATTTCGGAGTAAATCCCATAGCAAAAGAGATTATTTATCCTAATATATAGATACTAGATAACGAACACATTTTCTATAGACACAAATCGTCATATGTTTGGGTTGATCGTTCCTGATGAAGGTAAATCCAGAAAAGTGTTTCGACCACACACAATAAATAAAGTGTGTTTTCCATTAAATATCAGTTACTTTTGTAAAATGATATCACAATGAATTTTTTAGACACTCTTAACTTTTCAAAGATAACCAGGTACAAGACATAAGTATATTATATTGACAAGAAAAATGCCTTTGTTAGTTGGTATTTAAGCAGTCCTTACACTTGGTTGAAATTTGATGTACTTTCTTAAAATGAAACGGTTTTGAAAGAGGTACACATATCTCTATTGAAACCGCAGTTGGTGAGATAATTAAAGCATGTCTAATTAACATATCTCTTAACCTGTGAGTTGACACCCTTTATTACTCTTGCATGACTTGTCAAACAGTTGTATATATATATCAATAAAAGATCTTGTCAAAATCACCATTGTTAATTGCGGTCTTTCATGGAATAAAAACGACAGGAAGATGTAGCCTGTAACCCTTTACATTAAAGTACATTAGTCGACATTGTCTGACTCGTTCGTCCAATTTATGTCCTTTCTTTTTTAACTTTCAAGTTGAATCTAATGTTTGATCAAATCTCAAATTGTCTTGGATTTTTGAGTCGTTAGGTTGTTATCTCGTTGACGTATATCGTTTTTCGTGTTTTGCCATGGCATTGTCAGTCTGTTTTCGACTTATGAGTTTGAACATTCCTTTGGTATCTTTCGCTTCTCAGTTATTCATATGCATGGTGCAAGTTTTGCCCTACTAATTCTTTTTGCCTGTATAACTAATTCGGTTAAGCATACATGTCAGAATTGTATAAATGTATGAGTCCCTTTAAAAAACCTCTCATCTGTTAAGAAATTGCAATCTGCATATTGCTATTTGAAATAATAGCCATACATATTCAACCTAATCATTACAAAAAACATAAATATTTTAGAATGACATTTAAAAAAGAAAAAAATTAAATACGTTTGCATGTTGAACTCTATCCTATATATTTTGATTCAAACATTACAAAATATAAAAACAAACTTTAGTATGAAGCTAAGGGATAAATCACACTATCACGTTTGTAAAAAACATTGATTCAAACAATAAATTCTATGAAAAAGAGGAAGAAGATACCAAGAGGACAGTTAGAACTCATGAGTGGTGATTAACTGAAAATGCCATGGTAAATAAAAAACAGAAAAGACAATAAAGTTCGTAAAACGCTATATAGAAAACTAAAGTCTACAGAGAAGTACGAACCCCACCAAAAAATACGTATGATCTCAGGTGCTCCCAAACTAGCATAATTAAGATTTTTGAGTTTTTATTTTTATTAACAAGTATTTGTTACGTTTTGGGACTTTTTTTCAACAAACAAAACAGCATTCCTATGGGGACCAACTGTGTTTCCCTTCTTGTCAACTTGTTCTTTTATCCTTATGATGCATACTTTATGCAGGAGTTTCACAGGAAGAATGAAAAGAAGCTAGAATTATCCTTTAATTTCACGTTTTTTAAGTTCGGAATTTAAAAAGGATACCATAAATCCAGTTAGGTCTGTCTTATATATTGACTTACATCTAGAAATTGACAATGGAGGTCGGTCGAGAACAAAACTTTACGATAAAAAGGATTTTAACTTTCTAATTGTCAACTTACCATTTCTAGGTAGCAACGCTTCAAAAGCGCCTGCATATAAGGTATATATTTCGCAGTTGATATGATACCCGGAAGCCTATACAGACTATCCTCTCTAACAAAGAGTGTTGTTGCTTTAAAGATAGATTATAAACCAAGGGTTCCAAGGGTATAGTTGAATCAATCCCTTCGAAAGTTTTACAGACGCCATCACGAGTTGGTTGACCGTTATGAATATCTGTGTCACAGATGACCATTGATATGTTTTAATTGGCGTTACTACAATCCCGTCCTCTTTCTTCGAATGTGACATCACAGAATAACACCGCTTATCACCAAGTTTTTACTTACCAAGAGCGAAATGAAGGATGCAACATGTGGTGCAGGATCTGTTCACCATTCTGGAATACCTGAGATCACCCCAGTTTTTAGTTGGGTTCGTGTTGCTCAGTCTTCAGTTTTCAATATACTTTTTTGTGGACTTGTATGTCTCTGTCGTGTTTCGGTTTTTTCACACGTGGAGTTGTCAGTTTCTCTTCGTCTTTGAATGACCTTTTATCATCTTCCGCCTATTGTTTTTAGAACAGGAAAACGTAAAAATGGCGCCCCAAGTCCTAAAATGCAGGACCACAATAATATAAAATGGAGTGAATCAGAATCAGTTTAGTTTTCAACGGCAGACAAAAATATAAATTTATTGAATTTACAATATCGGTATTGAATTAAAATGGAGGTAACTTATGTCCGGGCTTCTTTTTATTATATCGGTTTTAAAAACTTAAAGATCTTTCTAACATTTATCAATATTGATGCTTTAAATAATTATTTACTATGTTAGAATAAACCCATCATGGATACCAGGCTTAAAACTGTGTACGCCAAACGCGTGTTTCGTCTACAAAAGATTCATCATATTACATCAAATATTTGATAACCATGATAGCATTACTTCATGTTAACATGTTTTCAATCATGAAAATAAAAGCAATGATATCAACGGCGAAATATATGCTCTCAGACAAATTTTGCAAAGTAAACTATGTGAATAAATAATATTATTTGTAAAGAATATTATGAAAATTGACATTAATCTCTTGTTCTTTTCAGTCCATATTGCCAAATAAATATGACGCCTTAGCTTCACTGCATCATCTTAACACAGCTGCTGGCGCTCACGGAGGACCAAATTTCCCTGGTTGGCATAGAGTTTACCTTGTCTTGTAAGTTTTATTACTGATAGAATATTAAAATGTAACACCGAACCTTAATCCATAGAAAAATTCAATAAATCCTACTCCAGTATTGGTTTTGTGTGCTTAGGAGGATATTCATACACTTAAAAAATCTCGTCACACAATATATTTCTGCATGTGTGAATGAAAATTATAAACTATTTTGCATTTTAAGGAATATTTTATGCCATGTCCCTGCTTCATTGCAAATAAAATCTATATGCTATAAAATGGGACTTCTGGAAACTGCGCAATTCTCATGTACTTATTTGTTCATATGTTCCAATGTTTAGGATTTGGTATATCTTGATTTCCTATAATCCTTGTAATACATGCCTTTAGAACACAGATGGGTAATTGTAAGTGAGAAAGGGTTGAACAAACATAACGTACACTGTAAAAATTCAAGACCAACCTTTTTGTATCAAATGCAAACTTCACGAAGATCAATTGATCCAATGTAAAAAGTTAAGAAAATCATAATGATAATCAATATGTTTACTCTTTTATACTATACTTTATGCATAAACTAACGTAATGCATGAATATGTGATCCATGAACTTTATTTAGTCTCATAAAAAAATGATATGTATTATTAGGACAATCGCATGAAATCGATGTTCATGAAAGAAATCTTCATTTAGAATAGAGAATGGAAACGGGAAATGTGTCAAAGAAACAACAACCCGATCGTAAAGTAGAAAACAATTCTGTATAGAATATAAACTGTTTTAACAGAATATGTAATTGTATTTGGATTTGTATTTTTTTTCATCAACTGAGCATAGTCAACCTGAATTATGATATATATCATTTACAAATATATTTCTTTTTTTAGGATTGAAAATGCACTGAGAGAAAAGGTACCAAACGTGACATTGCCATACTGGGATAATACTCTTGATGCCAACCTACCGGATCCAAGACTAAGCATTACGTGGTCCCCTCTATTTTTGGGATCCTCGACAGGAGTTGTTCGAACAGGACCGTTTGCTGGATGGAATACACCCTATGGAGCTCTTCGTAGAAACGTCGGTTCAGACAGAAGACTCATGTCATCAACAGATTTAGGCTTGATATTGTCACGACGTTGGTTATGGGAAATTACCAATCCAAGTGCCTCGGATCAGTATAACATTGAATTGCTGCACAATCATGTTCATGTTTACGTAGGCGAACAAATGAGCAGAATAGAATCGGCATCATATGATCCGGCGTTTTTTACCCATCACACATTTATCGACTGCCTATGGGAAGAATTTAGGGAAAGACAACGACAGAGAGGCATTAACCCTGGAAGAGATTACCCTCGTATTGTAGGTGACAATCAACATCAGCCTCTTGTACCAATGGGACTTGGAAGACTTCTAGTCATTGATGGAATCAATGATATCTTTACACGCCGTATATACAAATGTGAGAAAAGACCAACGTGCGTACAGGGCACCAATCATTGTGGATCACAGTATCTTAGATGCAATTGGAACAACCGCCAGTGTTTGCCTTTGATTATGGGAAGAACTGTAGCCCCGCAACGAACTGTACGTCAGCAATGGTGGCAACGAAATGGTATCGCGAACCAAGTATTTGGCAAATAATCAGCATATTACATTAAAGGAAATGGTGCCATTCATTTTTTTTTTCTTTTGGAAGCAAAACGATTTTTTTTTCGTTTAAAATGGAATTAGTAGAAATATTTTTAAAGGAGATTCAAGTTTTCCATGAAATGGCAAAAAAATTCATATTAAGAACAGAATTAATTACAAAAGTTGTCGGTTCGAAATAGACATATGAAAGCAGCCAATGCATTAAGAGACAAATGAAAAGTGCTATTAATTGTTAAAATGTCAACCTGGAAAGGAGGAGCATCTTGTTAACATTTTAATACGTGGTATGCTCATTTACTATATTTTTATTGTGTTTTGTTGACCATGAGATGGTTAAAAAAAATACAAATTGTATCGGCTTTTTTCCACATTGTTGAACACTTTTTAATTGTGACGTAAGGGATGCTTGTATATTATCATTTTTTTTTTTTTTTTTTTTTTTTTTTGCAAATCGGTGTATTATAGAATAGATATACCAATGCCGAAATAAAAAAAATAAGACATTGTCACGATTGCTGTTCAAATATCAAATATACAATTATTATTGACAATTGAATAGTTTTATTACAAATGCATATGAACAATACCTTGCATATAAATTTCATATCTTGTTGTCAGTTCTAAAGTTTTTCTTCTTCACTTTTCTTTACCCTTTTTTGCTTTGTTTTCATTGGTGAAATGATGATAAAACGTTATATCAGATATTCACCGTGTATACCTTATCCATTACCAAAAAACCTGCAGGGTCATTTCTGATTATAAATATCCAAATGTATTACCAAATTTGATAATCGATACTTAAAGAATAAATTAGTAAATTTTATAGGAAAGTTATTTAGCTGCCTATACAATAGCATGGATATGGTACTAGTATTAAAAATGGAGGGGATAAAAGAAAAAAGAAAACAGAATATTTTGAGAGGAGACACATTAATAAATCATAATACTATGTTGCTTAAAATTTTGCAACCGATTTAAAAATAATTTCTTTTGTGTATGGTTTTGTAGTCGTATATTTCTATACGCTCAGTTCTTTATCAATGGTCTGAAACTTTACATTCCGAATCTTAATTATTTCAACCTTCAGAATATTGAATTTCTAATTTCCTATCTCAAAATCACTCCTTACTAGCGTTAACATTTTTCAAACTTCGAAACTAACGTAGCAGTACTTACAGTTACATACAATTTTAAAAAATAAACAAATAATACATGCCTTATTTGCTAAAGCCATCTCCAAATTTCTGGCTTAGCTTACTTGGCAAAGCTAATACCCAAACATCAGTCTTTATTTTATTTAATATTTGCATATAACATAATCCAAAAAGGAAGTCCCATTTCCCCATCTTTTTGGATTGTTCTTTTCAATTAGTCAGTACATAGTTAATTTATATAAGAAAATTGATGGTGAAAACAATCAAATATTTTGAAATTAGTATTGTTTTCATTTTCAATATACTATGTACTTACAGGAATTTCCCAGCTATCGTATGTATAACCAAAGCAATGCATAAGTATGTTAATCCCTTCTATTCAAGGCTAAATTCTGTTTTTTTTTAAAAGACTTTCTATTATTTGCAATATCATCTTTTAACAAAATGTAAAAAAAAAGTCCTAGAAATATTTTAGATTATAAAACAATAATATTCTTTTGTATATTTATTCAAATAAAGTTTAACAGTTCCAACAGAAACTTCACGAAAAGAATTTACTTGTTAATGTATGAATTTACGGAAAGTGAATTCTCGAGTAGAAGTCACAGTTAGATTATTGTTCTTTTACTGGGAAAATCGGAATTAATACGTATGAAATGTTTCTATAAAATAACCTTTTTAACAAACAAAATACGAATCATAGCATTGCTTTGGTTTTTAAACATTGCACTATAAAAGTATTCCTATTGCAATAATTTCAAAACACTGTATAGCTCATTTGCTATAATTTTTAAACACATTAATACTATATTCATGACAAATGGAAATTTTTAAAAATATTGAATTCGATCACAGACTTCTATTGTATATAGAAACACAGGTGAACATCTGAATAACAAATTTGTTGTGTGGTGACAAAGGATAATCACTTATCTGCATTTAACAAAAAGAAAATTTCGTTCCAAATTTCGTTTATTTCTTGGTAATGATATATAAAAATGCAGATATTTTTTAATGTGATACCATGATTTAATTGTATAAAATTAATGCATAAGTAGTTGTAAAAAGTATCTACACAAGTTATTGATTTAATTAAAGATATAAAATATTGATTACAGTTTGGTAATTCATAAATAAAAACAAAGGACACAAAAGATGCAAGGACTTCAAAGAGAAATTATAAAGAAATTGTTTGGACGTTGTGAGATTTCAATGATTTTATCGAAACTTCTTACTATTTTACAGCTAAATAGTTAACTAAACCATATGCTGATAGGTACAATAGTTAAATTGCATGACATACAAAAGGGAAAAAGTTTGCTTACTTCGGAGAAAATGAAGAGAAAATCAGTTTTCAATAGTGAGATAATTGATGGTGGCATTTAAACCGTTAAGCAGGTGCTATGTGAGTAGACGAGATTTGAACAAGTATACCCAAGGCAGTTAAAGCATACGTTTGGGAACAAAAGGACACGTTATACGTACTGAGCCGAGATCACGAACGTAATATACCGTAGTCAGAAAAGGCAAACGTTTCAGTACAAACAGACATGTAGTACGTATTTAGCCGTGATTATCAAAGTAGAATACCGAAGTCATTTAAAACAAAGGTTTATGTTCTAACAGGCATATGGTACGTACTTAGCCGAGGTCATGCAAGTAGTATCCCTAAAATCAGTTTAAGCCAAAGTTTATGTATAAAAGACATGTGGTACGTACTTAGCCGAGGTTACGAAAGTTATTGGCCGAAGTCTGAAAAAAGCAATAGATTATATCACAAACATACATGTATTATTGCAGTAAAAATCAGATTCCAATCAGGGCGGAAACATTGAATAGGTGTTTCCAGGTTGGAATCTCTCTTCTTCTTCATTCAAGGCAAACGCTCTATTAACTTTCAAAGTTAAGAGAAGAAATAAGGAACCTCATAAAATTCTTTCATACGAAATAACGATATACGCAAAAGATATTCCATTTGACATGAAACTGTATCCTCTGTAAACAATTTAGATTTGCCTATAAAAACAATTGATCTAATTCCACTCACTTATCCTTAATCCAAGGTTAATAGGTACCGTTGTTCTTTTTGAATATTAACAAAAGAGTTTTTTATAGAAATTTTAAACCAAACTTTATGACAATTTGTTTTTTTTTTATTTATCTTTTCCTTTTGATGATGGTATTCTATTGCTTCTTTCGTGTGACATTTAAATTTTTCAAGTGAATCGATATGCGTGTGTTCACAGTCATGTCTTAGATTTCAACAAACCTAATATTTCAATTACTTATTTTTTTGAAAGCAGCGATACATATATTTTAAAAAGGTAAACAATTTTACTATAAGTTTTCACAAATATAGAGATTTATCATTGAAGTGATATTCAAACATTTAAAGTAATAGACATATTCGTAAAGGATATAATTATATTGTTGCTGTTCAAACATTGCGACTAGTAATAATTGCTGAAAAATCAATTCGCTAATTTCTAGTTTGAAGCTAAGACTGAAATGTTTCTATCTGTATTGTTTCTGTATTGTTTCTGTACACGATTGTTCTTGTTCTGTACACGATTGTTCTGTACACGATTGTTCTGTACACGATTGTTCTGTACACGATTGTTCTGTACACGATTGTCCTGTACACGATTGTTCTGTACACGATTGTCCTGTACACGATTGTTCTGTACACGATTGTTCTGTACACGATTGTTCTATACATGATTGTTCTGTACACGATTGTTCTGTACACGATTGTTCTGTACACGATTGTTCTGTACACGATTGTTCTGAACTTTGCACAAAATCGTTTGTCTCAGTTTTGTTTAAAACTTTTTCATGTTTTTATTAAAAGTGTAAATATATAGGATAGCAGCACGATCATTACTTTGACCTTCCTTTCAGTAACTGCGAGCATTCTTTGATACGGTGTTGATTCTTAATGTTTAGCTTGTAATCAAACCTAGACTTTATGATTTTTGTGCGCCTGAGGCGCTTTTCTGGATTGACCTTATCGTGTGTTTTGTTATCTAGTACATCGTTGTCATATAGCTTTTCCTGTACGGATGTTTATTGTATGATCTTTGCACCATCTGTCAATCCACTCATTGACACTAAAGGATGAAAGGTTGAGATCTCAAGAAACTAGTTTAATCCATATATATGTGCATGTGCCTACGCTTAATCAGGAACCCTGTTAGTGGCTGTCTTTATTTGAATCTAAATGGTTTGTGTTTCGCTGAATTTATTTTTGATGGCAGATCTTTGATAGACTATGAAATCAATTCGCAACCTTTTATACACGACGCGATTTAGAGCTTGGTACTATGAATAGACACCTGTCAAATGTTAAAGACCGTATTTTGACCTCTAGATGTCTTTTTATTTCCTTTTATTCATTCTCATTATCACATTCCATGTTAGTGAATTTGGGCACTTCCTGTCTATCTTTGTTGATGGGTACTGATCAATATATCAAGAGAGGAAGTCTTCAAATTATAAACTCTACTTCGTTCCGGGACATCAGTTCCATCTTGGTTCTTGTATTGTAACATCGTCTTGTTTCCCTATGTAATGTTTTGTATGCAATCGTTTGTGTTGTTTTTTTTTTAATTATTATTTTCCTTTTTTTTATCTTTTTTTTCAAAATATTCTACTAAAACTTCTAGATGGCCGCAAAACTCTAGATATCAAAGATTCAAAATTGCAGCATTTATGAAAAAAAGACACAATGTTATATTTTTTCTTTTTATAACTAACATATGTAATTTAACTATTTTTCTACTTGGAGAAGACGTGACTAAGTGGAAAAACTTGTGTTTGATCGATTTGTCCTTTTAAACAATAAAATATTGTTAAACTAACAAATGACAACCACTGAATACTGGTTTCTGACTTGCGATAGTCACATATTAAATTGAGCAAGTTTAAACATGTGTGTTAGAGCTGAACCCTCTCTCTTGCCTGGGACAGTGGTCTTACAGCATAACATAAGAACAACCAGCGAAAATCAGTTGGGAATGGCTTGACTGATTTGATAGGCACGAAGCACAAAAATAACTAACATAAGGACAAAAAACACGAAGTGCCGATCTAAGAGTACTCGAAGTTACTGAAAGTACCCGACATGACAAAATGTAAAACAATTCAAACGAGAAAAACATGACTTATGTAAAAAAAAAAAACAACAATTAACGAAAAACAAATTTGATATACAGCAAAAAACGACAACCACTGAATTACAGGCTTCCGACTTCAGACAGACATATACAGAATGTAAAACATGTTTGCAGGTGCAGAAAAACGTGCAAACTCTATAATTCAAATCATCAATCCATTTACATGGAAAATATATATACATTATAATTTATTTCTCATTTTTTATGTTCATGCTTTTACTGGCAATTGCGTAATGTATATGCGCATTTCACTCTACAAATAAATTTTAAAACATGATATTGTTTGAAATTGACAGTACAATAACATGAAATGACGAAACATATTTTGAATCAGTTAGTTACTGGTTTCGGAGAGAAACTGCTAAATAGACATTTTGAACTGTAAGAAACAATAGGGTGTGATTTTACTGAACACGTCCATATTTAAACATCATAACTTCTAATTTGGTGCAAATCTAAAACCTTCTTGGACCTACTCCTTTGGCAGGAGAACTTAGAAACTGCTAACAATTTAGATCAATGGTTGAAGGTTGATATTTTAATAATACTTCAATAGATGCACGTTTTGAACAATTAAGAAAATATTAACATATATGTTAGACTCTGATCGACGTCCGATCTCTAATCGACGTCCGTTCCTCAAGTCGACGTCCAATGTAAAGTCACGTTCTCAAATCAGTGTCCAATATTTTTACCCTCTTATCGACGTTCAATGTGACGTCATGTATTTCAAAAAACGAAGTCCGATCGATTGGAATCTCCTCTCATCGATGTCATATATATATCAGTTTATTATTTGTTCTGAGTTTGATCTTTTTTATATTATCTTTATCGTTTTGTCTAAAGCTGCTTAAAGAAAATAACTGTTTTCATATATCTTTATATACTTGACAAATCATACAGACTTAATTGACGTATAAAAGAAGGAACAACAAAGTAAGCAACATCCGGTCCAAAATAATCAACTTCATAAACATCAAAGGACAAAAATTTATAAATGACAATAAGACATACACCGACATCATATTACGCGACATGCATATTAATATATTGGCGAAAAAAATTAATCCAGTCGATCTACGTTGTTTAATTCCTTGCATATTCATATAAATAAATGACAAGTGCATATAAGACAATGAGACAGAAACCCAAACATAAAGATACCCGAAAGACATATCTAGGGGCAATATACAGTCTCAAAAATAATAAGTATAGCCAATTGTTGAAAAGTATTATCATTTGGACTCTGCGGGATCTTTGTAAACAACATTTTTAAACCTGAGTTTTAAGGTTGAACCAACCATTTGTATTCGGAAAATGCCTTTATCAAATCAGGAAAAGGACAGTTGTTTTCTTTAAATGAAGTTGTGAATTCATTGCTGCAAATCAGTGAAGGGACGTTAATTAGAGAATCTTATTTCATTATGACATCATATTTGGACGTCGATTAGAGACCGGACGTCGATCTGAGTCTTACATATATATAAAAACTACAAGCTCTTAATCAGGATAGAATGATGCACAGTCGGCGCTTAAAATTCTTATTTCAATTGACATTTCCACCCATGAACACCACCGTTGATAATAAAATATTTAATATACATATACAAACAAAAGACAAATACAAATACAAAAACAAACAAACAACAACAACAAAATTACAGTAAAACAACAAAACGAAATACGACACAACACGATACAATACAACAAAATAAAGCAAAACATAAAACACAAAATACAAAATGAAAACAAAAAACAAAACATAAATGTTTTTGTTGACCTAACTAGCACTAGTAAAGCAGTTTTTAACTGAAACGGTCATTTTAAACTGAACAGCACTAAAAGACTGAAGAATGAATTGTTAATTCATTTTCAATCTCCCAGTCAATTTTTAGACTTAGACTTATCCACATCAAAAACTTCAGCACTGTTCAGAC